AGAAATTTTAACTCAGCTGGCAACGCTGACCATTTGGCCCAGGTTCAATAAAGGATAATGTAGCCTCTCTCTTACTGGAGCTACAAAAAAGACTCAGGAAAAAGAAAGTGGAAGAATTGAAAACCAAAGAAACAAATCTACAAAAGAGAAGGGTGAAATATGGGTCGGGTGACCAACTGTCCTAAATTGACTGGGACTGTCCCAGATTTTACCCTTCTGAGTAATCATTTTGAGGTAATAATTTAGATTTCTTGTCAGAAAAGTAGAAAACCTGGAACAAAGGTAATTTATAATTATTTTGGTTGGTGGGTTAGGAGCGGGAGAAGAATTGCAAAAACTAAATAGTGTTTATCAAACTATTAAGCTTTTTAACAATTTTCCAAATGTTGTTGCTTTTATTTTTATTTTTTACCATCCATAACAGCTTTAGTCAATAGAACTTTCAGGGAAAATAGAAATGTTCTGTGCTATAAAAAACAGTAGCATTGAGTAGTACTTGAAATGAGGCTACTGTGACTGAGGATCTGAATTTTTAGAATTATTCCATTTCAATTAATTTAAATGTAAATGAAAATGTCCACATGGGTCTAGTACAGTGATGGCGAACCTATGGTTGATTTGTCTTTGTTAAATGGCATTTAAATATATAAAATAAATATCAAAAATATAAATCTCTGTTTTACTATGGTTGCAAATATCAAAAAATTTCTATATGTGACAAGGCACCAGAGTTAAGTTAGGGTTTTTCAAAATGCTGACACGCCGAGCTCAAAAGGTTCGCCATCACTGGTCTAGTAGCTACTTAGTGTACAAGGCAGAGATCTATGGAGATGCTGCTGTCTATGGTAAACATATTTTGGTGTGATTCATCTCTCATACCTTCACCGAGAAATTGTCTCATTTACAGTTTTTGGAAAGAACAGCCCTATGTATTGGACATCAAAGGTTTAACTTGGCCTATCTGAACTGGGTCAATCCAAACTGAGTCTGTCAGTTTCTCTCTTTTATGACTCTGGAACTGAGATACTGAAAAGCTGCATCCATTTGCTACTAATGAGCTGAACAAGCAGGGTTGGCACTGGAGACTGGGCCATGGAAAACCAAAGCCTTATGCAACCTGAAGTTATGTTAGGGTGCAGACCAGAAACTATGTAGTGAAAACAGGGGAGTTGGGGATGATCGGAGAGGAGGAGGGAAAGATAGAGAAGAAATCATGTGTAAGTGGTACACATAATACCTGAGCTTTGTTAAAAATATTGTTTCTAATTTGGGGGTTAGAGAAGAGAAAATATATTTAAGAATATATAGAGGCAAGAAGAAAAAATAAAAAGAAGAGAACATCTTAGTGTAAATTCTAGAAATAATGGTGTTGATAAAATTATATATATCATCTAATAAGCCAGCTTAGAAGAGCCCCATTCTTCAGGTGAGAAAGAAAATTTCTCTTCTACATGGGAAAGTTGTTCTCTTTGACCACTCTCTAAGAGACACACCGGCTTGCCTCATAATGGTTTGCAATAAATATTTGTTGAAGGAACGAAGAAAAGGAGGGAGCAGTGGGGGAATACAGCAAATAGAGCATCTTCCTAAGGTAGTCAGATTAATCCTTTTGTTCAACAGTTTGTGTTCGTTTGTTTTTCAGCCATAGCATTTTTATTTGTTCTCTTGTTTGTTTCTTAATTGTTAATTGTCTATTAATCTTAACTTTTTGTTACCAGTGAGATGACAAGACCTCAGTTCTTGTCTTCTTGAAAGAAAGATTCCAATCAAGAGACAAAGTGTAGCAAACTAAGTAAGAATTTATTGGACATAGCAAAAATATACTTAGGACAGTGAAACAAGGAAGGGCAAGGGAAAAGTAACAGGAGAGCCTAGGCTGGGCTGCTGCGGCTCACTTAGAGTCGGAGAAAAGGGGGCCTTTGGAGATAGGTTCAGGGGGTTAGCCCAGGATGAGTTGCTGCTGCCCACTGTTCCCCTAGTTCCAAGTCTCCTCAGGTCCCTTAGAGGGAAGAAGAGGAAAGGGAGAGGCTCCCCTGGGGAAGAGCATGAACTGAGTCCTCCATCCTGAGCTTATTTATCTCTCTTGCAGGTGGAACATCTTAGAGGAGGTCTCAGGGGAGGGTCTCAATAGAATACTCATCAGCTTTCCGGGTGTGCTCTTTCAGGGTTGCGGTCTCCCCTGATTGGTCAGCACCAGAACAGGGGTGAGTCAATGCAGCTAGTCCTGATGCAGCCTCTCACTTGTCTGGTTTTGTTGCTTTTCTGGGCCTGGAGCTAAAATACAACCGAGGCCTAGCTGTTATCTGTAGGGAGGAAAAGGTCAGGGGGTTCTAAACCACATGACCAGCAGTATGCTAGGGGAGGAAAGGTTACCCTGGGGGCTGGGGAGTTCTTGTTTTTCCCCTTGCTAGGCACCTGGGGCTTTTTGCCCTGGTGAGTTTCTGTACCTGGCTCATTGTCCTTGCTCTGCTCATGTCTATCTAATTGCCTATACCATTTTCATTGTTTCTTATTCAAAAACATGTAAATTGACATATAATTCATATACCATAAACCTCATCATTTTAAGTGTATAATTCAGTGTCTTTTAGAGTATTACAAGATTGTGCACACTTCACCACAAATTCCTGAAATGTAAGTATAAAACACAATAGATTATGATGGCTCAGTATAAAAGTAAGAATGTATAATGTGTCAGTAATAATTTTTAAATAGCCATTACAGGTTGTAATCATAGTATTTTGGATATGCTGGATTAAAACAAACATATTAAATCAATTTCACGTGTGTGTGTTTTTTAATGTGCCTACCAGAACATTTTACAGATGTGGATCACAATTATATTTCTATTGGACAATGATTGTCTACACTATGCAATTAAATAAATGGGTAAAGATTGTTTTAATATTTTATATGTACACTAGAGGCCCAGTGCATGAAAATTCGTGCACTTGAGGGGGTCTCTCAACCCAGCCTGCATGCTCTCACAATCCAGGACCTCTCAGGTAGGGTCCGGTCCCATCGCAGCATGGTTCTGGTTCCCCGGAGCCTGCGGGCCGGGGGAAGGGAGGATGGCTCTGTTCCCACAGCTCCCTCCTGCTGCCACGCCATGGGCGGCCAGGACCCAGACTGACTCCCACCGTGCTGACCAGGGCCCTAACCTGGTGTTCGGTCATCCATTTGGTCGTTTAGGTTGTGACGGACCCTGGCTTATTATATATTAGGATTAGGATTACCACAAGTTCTTTTTGACAAAGATCACGCTATAAGCTACTTTGTATCCTCTAGGACTAGCACATGCTTGATAGTCAACGAATACTTCTCAGCTGTTTGTTAAACTTTATTTCTTTGCTTTTTAGATTAAAATTCCACATTTTTTAGCTACCTGGTGAAAATATTCCTAAAATATCAAGAAAAGATGGCAAACATATGCATTTTAACTGAAAGTTGGAATTAGGTATGAAAATAGTAATTGGCAAAATCTATAACATTTCTTTTATAAAAAACAACTTTCCTGAATTATAATTTCTTATAAATTAACATGAAGTTTATGTTATTTTTAGTGTAGCATATGTATAAACAAAGTATTTTTAAAGAGTGAATCCAGTTATATATTAACAGAAACTTCTACTTGTTTAGGTAATCTATTTCTTTTTTTGCTTGCTGGCAGAATACTGTGAAACACTAATTACTTAGTCATAACAGAAGTGTCACACTACAGATTAATTATTCATTTCATTGGATGAATGAAGAATTGTGATCATGGACACTGGCCAAAATAGCCAGGTCCTACTTGGAGAATTGCTAAATACAATCTTTTAAAAAAATTATCAATTTTGTATTATGTAGATTTTTAAAGATATAAAGTATAACTTCTCAGATTTCTTTTAGTGAGAAAAAAATAGGCCTCAAAGGATCCTGGAGTCACCTTAAGCGTCATATGACATGAGAAACCTAAACGCATCAGACCTAGGCTGAAGAGGGATCTTTTGGCCCTAGGGAACAGAGGCTCATTCAGAGTCACACCCAGGCGGATAGATGTTCACTGTGAAGGGGTGAGTAGAACACAGTTTGGGAAGTGGATGGATCCAGTGCCCTCCAGGGACTGGATACTCATAGGTCCCTGGGGAGCAGGTATTTGTTGATCTTATTCCATCACTGGGTCTCAGCTTCTCTTAGAGTCCGTGTCTACCACTCCCGCCCCACCTGCCCCTACTTCATCCTCACGTTTCTGCTCACTCAAATAATTTGCTTTCTGGAGGCCCATTTTCCCTCCCCCTGTCTCAAGCCCTCTTTCAGCTTCAGCCTTCCTATCAGATGGCTCACTGTCAGTATTCTCCCCTTTCAATTTCCAAGGGAGAATCTGAATGGCTTACAGAATTACCAGTCACTATTGGGGAGAATTGCTTGTTCCAGGTGACCTCGGAAGATGAGGGCCAGTTTACGGACTGTGTTCTTGGACCACATGATCACTCTTTGGAGAAGGGGGTGCTTTCTGGGTGGTTTGTTTGCGCAACCTCTGCCCTAGGAGTGGTTTGGGTCACCTCAGCTGAGCCTCGGTTTCCTTTCCAAAGGGACTCCAGCAAGCATCACACACACACACACACACACACACACACACACACACACGAAAACAACAGTGACTGAAATGTATGAATAAGTGGGTTGCATTAAGTAGTTAAATGTGGGAAGTAATGAATGAAGGACGGAAGACACCTCTATCGACCCAGAATCCATGTAAAATTTCTCTGCAGAACAAATTGGTTTTCAAGATGAGTTTTGTTTGCACATCACACCATTCTGCTGTCCTGCTGATTTCTGGAGACCCCTGCTCCTGGCCGAGAGAACCGAAGTCCCGTTTCTCCTGGGAGACCTCAGCATTCAGCACGTTGGGGCGCTTTATTTCTTCTGCCCGAAGCGGGACCTTGGCAGGAGATCAGGCGACAGATGCAGGGGGCTGGGGACTACTGGCTCCGGGGAGCGCGAAGGAAAGGTGGCGGCAATCGAAAAGGTGGAGGTCTGGGTCCCTTTCCCACTTGCCTGGACTCTGTCCCCTGATCGGGCGTCTCCACTCCCCGAGTTTCTTCCTCATAGGCTTGTCCCTGGGAGTGTGGGCGGCCCACTTCCTGAGCACAGAAACTCTTACCACCCCCTTCCCTCCTCTTCCTCCTCTTCCTCCTCCCCTCCCCGCACACCAGCCCTCCTCGGTGCCTCATCACTTCCTACCTCAGCCTCTTCCTCCTCGGAGCGGTTCCTCAGACCACCCGCCCCCGCGGACTGCACCGGGTTTTCCACGGACCAGCCAGGGAGGCGGAGAGGTGAGCCAGGCCCCTGGGCAGAGGTGGCCAGGTGTCCGGGGCGGACCCGGCATCCGGGGGAGGCCCAGTGGCGGGGGAACCGTGGGCTGCGGGTGGAGAGCCAGGGCCCGGGGGCGG